GGGGTGGGGTTGTGGGGGTGACTTGTCAAAGTGACACACACCTGGCTCCCTTGGCAGCATGCAGGCCCCAACTTCTGCATGGGGGCAGAACTATTGCAAGGTGGTGGAGCAGTTCTTCATTCAGAAAGCACCCCCGGTGCCACCCCCATGGGGAAAAGGAGACTCTGCCCTCAAGTAATCCATGCGGTCTCAGGCAGGGTCCCTGAGCCCCCTCCTCCACCACTCCTTCCCTCTAATCCAGGCAGAGGAGGTGCAGGGAGGGGATGAGGAGGGAAGGAAGAGAGAGCTGGCATTTACTGGGAAAAATGACATGCCAGGCAGTGTCTTAAGCATTCTATGTGCATTTACTTATTCAATCCTTGCAATAACCCTATAGGTAGCTATAATTATTAGCATTCCCACTATGCAGATGAGAAAACAGAGGCACAGGAGGTGAAAGAAATTGTCAAGGATCACAGTTAGTGGCAGAGCATATTCTGGCCTCCAGGCTCCCCAGCCTGACCTCCAGTCTCTGGCCCCTGCACTGCCCTCTCCCCTCTGCACCCTGCTGGGGCCCCCACTCACCCACCCCACATCCTGCCATGTTGCATTGTGTTGCTTCACCCCCCACGGATTTGTCATCCCACTTCTCCTGGGTGATGGAGACACAAATGATTACTCAAAGCCCATCTCTTCTGAGCAGTGAGAAGAACCAACTTCCCTGGGAACGCTCAAGCAAGAGGGATCCCTTCCTTGGGAAATTAACCCCGAATCACAGTCCTCTTCCTGTATTTATTTTCCAGACCAGGAAGTTACAGGAAGAGAACATAGGTGGGGTTATAGTTTAACAATATAGGCTAGTAACTTTCAGTGAAACAAGCCAGATGACATTCCAGTAGACAATTAAGCAGTCCTATCAACACAAGCTTGATCTTAGCAAACATTCCTTCTCCCTCTAGCAGTTTTCCAGCAACTTAGATATCAATCAGTAACTCATCTGTCTTTCAGCCAGCAACCTTGCTGTGCCACAATTCTTATTTTGCAAAAGAGACTCGATAGCCTGGGGAAAATTTCCTGTCCTTGCAAGGTCAATATTTGAAACTGCAAGACTCTGGAAAACCAGGCCCTGCGAAGTACATATGCTTTATAATATATTCCACACTGCCACAAAGCCCCGATGATGGCAATTGCCCCTTCTAATTGCAGCTGGGCTCCCAAAGCCACATTCGGTTATCACAGAGGGTGCAGATCTCGCAGCTCAGCCTTCTTAGGTCCCAGGCCCTTGGGGCCAGCTCAGGAATGGAGGGAATTAATTACCTCTTCCCCATCCCCTTCTTTTAAAGTAGGGGAGCACACCTGCACATTCCAGGGGAGGGGGAAGTGAGCAAAGGTTATGGAAGGGGGACCCCACCCCCCAAAACCAGCAAGCCTCTCCCCAGTGGGCTGAAGGGAGGGTGAGGCTGGCCCCTTATTGATTCAGTCTGGTCGAGGCTGAGACTGCTTTGGAACAGAGGGAGAGGAAGGAGCTGGGGCCTGAGTGGGGGCCATGGCAGGTGAGGGGGTTGAGTAGAAAAGAGAGGAAGGGATGGCTGTCAGTCAGCCTGATGGACAGCCCTGAGATTTGCCTTCAGATAAAACCTTACAGATGCGGAGGTCGATATTGATTTTGAGTTAGTAACAGTAACCTACCAAGAAGTAATATATTAGTGAAAGCAAGGTCACCAGGGAAAGAAGTAAAACCCACCCAGGGAGAGGCCTTAGCATTCTTGAGGGGGGTGGATTACTGCATCAGACTGGGACTTCCTCAAGTTCAGAAGTTTGCAGGCCCCAGACCTCAGCCAGTCCCTCCCCATGGGCAAAGGCTTCCTGCTTCTGCAGGAAAATAGGGAATCCTGGAGGTTCATGGCCAGCCAGAGGCCCAGCAAGGGCCACTCAGGCCTGTAGGGCTCCCCACAGTGGGGTTGCCAGGGCCTCTCCACCCATGCTTTTCAACATAGCCTGTTGTGGGTAAAGAACACAGCTGAGGTCTGAGAGACCTGTGTACAAACCCCAGCTCTGCTCCCCAGTGACCTCAGGGGAGCCTTCTCACTTCCCTATGTGTCAGTTTCCCCCTCTGCAGAATGAGGAGTCAGTGAAGTGACCTGAGTACCAGTCAGGGCCCATGGTCTCCTCTCAGCAAGTGTCCCCCTCCCAGCTCTCTGGGTCCTGTCCCATTTGCTCAGGAGCTGCCCTGCCTGGAGACAGGGGGTTGGATGAAAGAGAAGCCCTTTGATCTGCAGGCCTGCAGGGACTCTGGGAAACAGTGAGCCAGTGCCACAGTCCCCCAGTCACACCTACCCCAGGTGTGGATTTGATTTGATGTTCCAGGGCAAATCCCATTACAGGAAAAGCTCCCTGGGCCCGAGCTGTTTCTGAGCTGTCTGTGAATGGCCCAGGATCCAAGGCCTCCTGAGCCCCTGGGCACCACACAGGCCCCATCTCTAAAGGACGGCACAAGGCCTTGCAGCTCCCGGGGTTTTCACTCTCAACATTGACCTTCTTGCTGTTTCTTGAATATGCTGGGCGTGTCTCCCGACTCAGCCTCCTCAGTCCAGGCACCTCAGGGCCTTTGCACTTGCTGATTTTCTGGCCTGGGAAGCTCGTCTGCCACATCTTTTCATGGCTGTTCATTTTGGTCTTGCTGGATCTCGCCTCTTTTGGGAGGTCCTGCCTGACCCCCCCAACATACCCTCTTATTTTTCCACCACAAGTATCATTTATCAGCATCAGAAATTATACTGTTTATTCATTCACCTTTTTGTTTTCAGCTTTCTTCATTAGACTGACAGCTCCAGAAGGCCATGGAACTGGTATTGTTCAGTGCTTTATCCCCAGGGGAAGGTGCTGGGAGCACAGAGGGGAGCTCTGCCCACAGCATCGCAGAGGAGCCAGGCCCCCCAGGGTGTGGGCCCCACCACACTCACCCCCACCAGCTGCCCACGAAACAACGACTAAGGGTCCCTGAAGTGGGAACCTCTAAAGGGGTCAGATGCCGAAATCACATCCTTGGGAGTCAATCTTGACATTTCACAGGTGAGCCCAGGTCGGGGGGACGGGGCCCTGGACTGCTCCTTCGCAGACCTGCCGTGAGGCCTGGGGAGGCCATGGCCCTTTGCAGGCCTCAGTGTTTGCATCTGAGAAGTGAGCATCCCAGCTCTGCCCTGCACATCTCTGCAGGGCTTTGGATTGGGGGAGTCACGTGAGTTAACTACTCAGAGAAGGGGCAGGGAAGGAGGGGGCAGCTGAGGACTGCAGGAGCTGGGGCTGCTATTTCTCGGGCACTTACCTGCATGCCAGGCTCGGTGCAAAGAGCATTCCATGAGCTCATCTCACCTGCCCAGCCACCTTCTGAGTCAGGCACCATCACATCACTTTCCCCAGCACTGGGGGCAGCCACAGAAGTTAAGGGACACCCTCCGAGGTCACACAGCTAGTAAGTGGAGGAGCTCGGTGTCTGTTTCTGGCCCAAGGAATCCACATCCATGCTCTTGACTGAGGCCATACCTCAGTGCCTAGGGCAGGGACAAGTCCAAAGCGGGAAGGTGAAAATCTGCAGGTGTCTAGTCGGTAAGAAGTTCATCGCAAGGTGCCCGCAGCCTGCGGTCTCCCCAGGGGAAGTCAGAGAGCACAACTCTGCACCTGGCAGGGACAGCCACGCACTTCCTCAGCTCAGTGCTGGGTGGATTCTCAGCAACGCTGACCCCACCTCTTCTCACTCAGGGCCTCCTTCCTCCAGGGAGTGGCATCACCAGGAGGTCACCAGGGTCTTGGGCCCGGCAGGTCTGGCCCGCAAGGACCTCTCATTCTCCAGGGACTCCTGCTGCCAGCACTGCCTTTCCCCACTCTGTCCTGGAGAGCAAGACAGCAGGTGCTGCCTCCCCCAGAAGCTTTCCCGGATCACCGGCTGACTGGGTGGCCTCCTCTGGACCCCCACAGCCCCCTGAGCTGCCTCTAGCAGCTCCACATCATGATGTCTTCACTAGTTGCCTCCCCCACCAGGCCCAGACCCTCTCCCCTCTTCTTCTCCCACCAAGAGCAGGGACCATGGCTCTTTCTCCTCTGAAGTCCCAGGACCCTCAGCCTGAGGCCTGAGGCCAGAGTCACCATCAATGCATGTTTGTCAAATGAGTAAGTTCGACACCCAGTGTCCCAAACCCAGGTTCTTTAAGCTGAGTTTCCAGAGACAAGCCTCACCCGGTCAGTCTGAGTTGTCTGTGCTCATGGTGAGTTCCTATTTGCTGAACCAAGCCAAGCAGGGAAGCGGGAGATGGTCAGACTGCAGGGAGCTGGTAGAATGAGAGAAGGGTGCCTGGGAGGCTATTTGGAAGCACTGGCCATGTACTTTGGTGTTGTAGGTGTAGAGGACTCAAAGTCCAGGGAAGGTGAGAGCAGAGCCAGCCTGGCAGAGGAAAGGGGGTGAAACCAGACAGATCAGAGTCTTGTTCGAACCTTTCTGCTGGAAGATGGGGGCATCCCAGTCTGATGGGGGTGTCACAGTTCCTTGACATAGGAGAGCTCCCTGACTGATGGGAGAGGCATCACTGGATAGTCAGTTCTTTCATTATTCATTCATTCATGCATGCATGCATGCATTCATTCAGCAGAGAGGCCCATGGTGCCCCTCGTAGACAGGCCCTCCCTGGGGATAGAGAGATGAGTAAAGCCCTGCCCTGCCCCTGGAACTCTCAGCAGAAGGAGGCTCCCCGGGTCAGGACTTGAGCAGGAGAAACACTAAAGACCCGTAACCATCTCATGCACAAGGGCAAGCAAACCAGGTAGACTGAGGATCTTGGTACTGTAGAGACCTCAAGGGGGCAACTCAAGCAAAGCCCTGTCCACAGCCAGTGCTGGTGTCTTCAGGTCCGTCCTCTGAGCTGAGCAGTGACAGTCTGTCCCCTGCAGGGGATGAGCATCTTGAGCAACCCCAGTGCGGTGTCCCCAGAGCCACAGGCCGACTTCTCCATCTCCCCGCTGCATGGTAGCTGGACTCGGCCACCTCCATCTCAGCCAGTTGCAGCCAGGAGGCAGACTCCATCAAGCCAGGGGACAGCCTGCCCACTTCCCAGTCCTACTGCCGACCTACCCACAGCACCATCAGCTACAGCGGGGATCCCGCAGCTGGCTACCAGTACAGCCAGTACAGCCAGAGTGAGTGCCTGGTGCCCCAGCACCCCCACTCCTTATCCCTGTGCCCACTGTAAGGGCTTCCTGCTTATTTGTAGAGAGCTGCAAGGTGGTGTCGGGGTGGGGGTGCCGATTTCATAGATGGGGAAATTGAGGTCCAGAAGGAAGGAACAGTTGACCTACGATGATACTGAGCTGGACATCAAAGCTGGGTCATCTCCTGGCCAGGCACCTGCTCCTGCACTTGGGCTCCAATAGGAATATAACATGAGCCACAAATGTCATTTAAAATCCTCTAGCAGCTACATATTAAAACATAGGAAGGAACAAGTGGAATTATTTTTACTAATGTATTTAACCCAATATATCCAAAAGATTATCGTTTCAAGAAATAATCCATATAAAAGTATTACTGAGATATTTTACATTCTCTTTTTCCAAATGGCTCATAAACATGAAAAGGTGCTCAGTTTGGTTGATTATTAAGGAAATGTAAATTAAAGCTACTGCCAGAACGGGGTTGAGGAGACGACCCTGAGCGTTGTTGAGGGTGTGGAGCAGTGGACTCTCCTCGTCTGCTGTTAGGGGCACAGGTTATTATAACCACTTTGGGAAGGTGTTTAGCAGTATCTGTAAAGGAGAACATAGGCTTCCCCATGGCCTAGAAACTTCCCTTCTAGGTACACGTTCAACATGAGTGCCTGTGCCATTTGCTAGAATGCCTATGGTGGGGCTATTCTTGGAGCCCCAAAATGGGAAATATCCAAACGTCTATGGCAAGTAGAACAGAAACACATTGAGGTATATCCACGCAATGGGATTGAACACTACAGGGCACTGGGAATAAATGAAGTACAGTTACACGGAACTGCGTGTCAAGTAGAAGCAGCCAGACATAGAAGGGGTGTAATGCACGACCGCATTTATAGGAAAGGGGTTACCTTTGGGAGTGGGGGCAGTGGGAACTGGCAGGGGCATGAGGGGGATTCTGGGAACTGGTGATGTTTTGTCTCTTGACCTGGGTGCTGGCTATGCAGGTGCATTTACCTAGTGAACATTTTTCCATCTGCATGCTTAACAATTTTTGTGCTCTTTGCTGTATTTGTTATAATTCAACAAAAAGTGTTTTTTAAAAAAACCTGAAATCAAAATTTGGCTACTTACAGCACAGGCTCAGCTCTCCAGCTCCTTGGCACCTCAAAGTGACATCTATCTATCCAAACACTCTTCTCACTAAAATCAGCTGAGGTTTTAGTGAGAATTGGCTTTCTGCGTGGTTAGGGATATGTTTTTCTGAGAACAGCTTTTTTCCTTTGCTGTGATTTGTGAGAGAGAGGGGGAGGGGAGAGCTCTGTGACATGGGGTCAGTGGGAGGTGGTGGACACTTCTGGCCAAGGAGGGAGAAGTGGGGCTCTCATTCCACACATCCCACAATTTGGGAATCACCCGTCTGATGAAATTGTCCGCCCAGTGTTGCTCACCCAGGATAGTGGTCCTGACTAAATGAACAAATGCATAGACAAATTGATGAATGAATGAAACAAAGACTGTGCAGCACCACGGTCCTGCTTACACACCTCCAGTGACAGGGAGCTCATCCCCTCTGCAGGAGGCGTGACCTACCACAGGGGAGCTCCTCCGGCTGTCAAGAGGCCGCCCTCGAATGAGCCCCCATCCTTCACCTCCTGTTTCTCCAACCCTCCTCCAGCATAAACCTCTCCCAGGGGCAGGGGTCCCAGCCACCCACCCCCAACACACACACAGGCCACCTGTCAGAACCAAGGAAGAGGGGAGGCCTGCATGTCCTGCAAGTGGGAGGGGAAGGCAAAGCTGGCTGTGGGAGCAGCAGGAGCCTTGTCCCCTCACTCACTTCTGCCCCCACTCAGCTGACCTCCCCCAGCTGGCTGGCTTTTCCTGGGACTCTGACTTAGCTAGGTCTCTACCATGTCACTGCACAGAGACCCCTCTTCTTGGACACCCATAAGCCTACACCTCCTTGCCACACCTGGATATGGAGGTGTGCTGCAGAGTGTTGGCACCCATTCCCACCCCTGTCTATGAAGGTGCCAGAAGTCCAGGAACCACACTTCCAGACTCCCTTGCCAGCAGGGTGCTACCAATAAAATGTACTCATGTGAAATCTGGAAGGTGGAGAGGAGGTAGAAGTCATCCTCTACAGAAGCAGACATGCATGCTCTAGGGGCTAGCTGGACTCCACATTCACCACGAGTCACTAGCCTGGGGACCATTCATTTTTAAAATTCCTGCATAATATCATCTTGTAATCCACCAAGGTGATCCCTTACCCAGCCTGGAGAGCCATGGGCCGTAACTTTTCATAACAAGCTCTGAAATCTTCAACATATATCATAACCAGGACACCTTGCAACAACACTAGTTTCCCCACCCACTTTTATCCACCCAGGCCTCAGATAGCTTGACATTGAATAGTCCCTTTGGGGGCATGAGGTAAACAATTTACAGCAAGTCACTGTCCTAAAATACACTCTTCACCCATAGGGTGCCTGGAATTCAGTGGCAATGGTAGCATTCTTCAGGGTTAATCACAGCTCTCCTTAAGTGGTTCTCCTTTAAAGTGCAAAGTCTCCTGGGAAAGGCAGCAATTAAGGTAAAGTATCTGGAGCTGATCTTGCTTTTGCCCTGATGAGAGGGGCCAAGAGGCTTTGTAGAGCAGTGGGGGCTCTGATGATGGATCTCACTGCCTCAAAATTGCCCTTAAGTCCATGTGGATCCCTGACTAGGTTTGTGCCTTTAGACGGCCTTCCTCTTAGGATACTGCAGGTGATGAGAATCATTCCAATTTCAAAGGCCTCTAGAGAAAATTTACTAATCTTTTTCGGTGTTTAGCCCTGAATAAGCCCTTTCCTCTGGAGGTCCCCACGGGGACCAACAGCATCTCACTCCCTCTGGAATTTCAGGATCCAGAGCCGGTAGAGCCTGTTGCCCCCCAGGAGTGAGAGGCCCTGACTCCAGTGTGGGAGGTGGCAGTGGCAGTGGCAGTGTTACCTGTGTTCGGACTCCGAGGTGAGAATCCAGTCTTCCTTGCACCACCCTGTCCTGCCTCCTCCACCCTCATCTCCTGCCAGAGAACCTCTGCTTCCTCCTTGCCCTCGGCATCATACCTCAGTAGTTTAGTGAGCATAAAATAAAATGCCTTGTTAAATTATGTTCCTTTGTCTCAGAGGTTGGCTCAGGAGGGGCAGCAGATGGGTAGGAAGAGAGGTTTTGTGGATCAGCCACTTAAATAAGCATCTCAGTGATGTCTGAGGATAGAAGTCCATAGACTATATTTTCAGAAATTGTATTTCCCTCTGGACACCTTGTCTCTGGCAGCCCATTTGAATGGGGGCTACATTTTCTCTAATAGTCTATGGCCTGCAGACCACCTAGATTTTATTCTAGTGAGAACATTCCAAAACAAACTAAAGATCAATCCTCCTACACATTTCTCCAGTCACCTCTGGGGATGACTGCATGCCATCAGCAACATGCATCTCACCTGTTGCCCAGCTATAATGACACCTTCCTGGGACTCTGACTTAGCTAGGTCTCTACCATATCACTGCACAGAGACCCCTCTTCTTGGACACCCATAAGCCTACACCTCCTTGCCACACCTGGATATGGCGATGTGCTGCAGAGTGTAGGCACCGATTCCCACCCCTGTCTATGAAGGTGCCAGAAGTCCAGGAACCACACTTCAACACTCCCTTGCCAGCAGGGTGCTACCAATAAAATGTACTCATGTGAAATCTGGGAGGTGGAGAGGAGGTAGAAGCCATCCTCTACAGAAGCAGACATGCATGCTCTAGGGGCTAGCCAGACTCCACATTCGCCACGAGTCACTAGCCTGGGGACCATGGTCTCTAGGGGCTAGCGGGACTCCACATTTGCCACCTGTCACCAGCCTGGGGACCATGGGGCTGCAATCCCCCACCCCATCACCAATGTTATTTATATATAAATATTTAACTATTTACATTTTAATTTCTTACCACATGGCTAGAATTGATTATGAATATTATGTTTCAGTAAAAAATGTATTTTATACGCAGTGCTGAAAGGTGAGAAAATAAGATTTGCAGGTGGCCTGAGGCAGGACGGGGTCACTCTGTGTTCCCCTCAGGCACCGCGCTTTCCTCTCCCTCCTCAGGCATATCTATGTACACGGAGTCCTCTGTTCGGGCTGATTCAGGGAGCGCCCTAGGATAAGAAAAACAATGTCAAGGCTTTTACCCTTGAAAACAGCAACTAACAAGCTGGCCAGTTAACTCAGCTGCTCAGAGCACAGCCTCACATCACCGAGGTCCTGGGTTCAGATTCCCTTACTGACCAGCCACCAA